GGTGCCACCCGGGCTGAAGCTCTGGTGCAGGAGGCCTGTCCTACCCCTCCCGGCCGGGGAGAGGGCCTGTGCCCACCAGGTGCCACGAGCCTGCCATGTCAAGCCCTGATAATCGACTTGAACCAAGACACCCATCTTGTTCCTACAGTTCCTGACCCCCTGGGCTTTCCCTTCCGCCAGGGTGGAAGGCAGGAACGCCAGACTCAGAGTGTGTGAGCCAGTGACCCGGCCAAAACCGGGGGCCAGTGGCGGAGGATGTGGGCTAGGAAGGGGGGGGGTTTCACCCGAAGGTGATCCTCGCGCTCGAGTGGAGGGCTGAGTGAGGGGAGGGAGCGAGCACGTGCCGTCGCAGACAGGGAGAAGTCTGACTGGAGGGCCGCAGTGTAGAGGTCCGGAGTGGGCATCTGCCTGGTGCCCTTTTTTCTTTGTAACAAGCTTTTCTTGGGCTGTGATCTCCACATTTCCCTATATTCAATCCATTCAAAGTCAATTCCATGTTTTAGTCCATTCACAACAGAGTGGTGCAGCCCTCACCGACAAGTTTTACCGTTTCATCCCTCCAATCAATCCCAAGAACCCTAGGGCTGCACGTGGATCCACGCCTGTAATCCAGCACTTGGAGGCTGGGTGGGGGGGTTTTTTTTGGGGGGGATCCTGAGGTCAGGCGTGCCGAATCCAGCCTGGTGAACATGGGAAACCCTGTCCTAACTAAACCACAAAAATTCAGGCCTGTGGCGGCACCTGTAATCCCAGCTACTCGGAGCGTGAGCCGGAAGAATACTTAATCCCAGCGGGTAGAGCTTGCGGTGAGCCGAGATCGCGCCACCTGCCTCCAGCCTGGGTGAGAAGAGCCACGCCTGGCTGGGGCTGTCACCATGGGGCCACTACAAGGCAGGTCATGGAGCAGGCAGGCGGCTTGAGGGCAGGGCCTACCAGCAACCCGAAACCAGGAGGCCGACGAGGATGTCCGTGTACACGCTCCTCTCGTGGGCCTCGTCGATGATCACCACCTTGTACCGCAGCAGCAGGAAGTCCTGGGGGGAGGTCCAGGGGTGAGGCCCGCCCTCCCGGCCTGAGCCCCAAGGGCCGCTTCACGTCTCAGAACTCCCACTTGAGGAGACAGTGTGAGAGGAAGGGCAGCTGCTCTTCTTCAGAGGTGAGCTGCTCAACTCGATGCCCGCAGGGCAGGAGGGCAGGTGGGAAATGGACATGAGATGGGGGGTAGGGCCGTGGGCAGTCGGACAGCAGATGCCACACAGACAGGGGCCACCCGGACCCAAACTGCAGCCACCGACACCCCCAGGAGTCCCAGTGGCCTCCAAGCCAGGAGGGCTGGAATCACCTTTGCGGGACCCCTGGGAGATGAAACGTAAAACTGTGGTGATGGCTGCACACTCTGTGAATGGACTAAAAACCATTGAATTGTACATTTGAATGGATGAATGATATGAAATGTGAATCACAGCCCAATAAAGCTTGTTACCAAAAGAAAAAAGGCACCAGGCAGATGCCCACCTCCGGACCTCTACACTGCGCTCCTCCAGTCAGACTTCTCCCTGCTCTGCGACGCACGCTGCTCGCTCCCTCCCTCACTCAGCCCTCCACTCGAGCTCAGAGATCACCTTCGGGTGAAACTCTCACTAGCCCCACATCCTCCCTCCACTGCCCCCGGTTTTGTCCGTCACTGGCTCACACACTCTGAGTCTGCGTCCTGCCTGCCACCCTTGCTGAAGTGGAAGCCCCAGGGGGGCAGGAACTGTTAGAACAAGATGGTGTCTTGTTCACTGTCGATTATCAGGGCCTTGAACATGGCCAGGCTCGTGGCACCTGTGGAGCACAGGCCCCTCTCCCCGCCGGGAGGGTAGGACAGGCCTCCTGCACCCATTTGCAGATCGGAAAGACCTTGGAGACGCAGCTTCTTTGTGGGCAGGGAC